CGTCATGCAGAGAGCACTCAGCGCACGCTTGTATTACATGAACATTACAACATTAGCATTTTACTGAAATTAAGTAAAAATATCAATGTCATTTGATCCCTCTTTTTCCATCATTGCATACCGGGTTGAGACCATCCTGCACCTGAGAATCAAAGTGAATCACGTGCGGCTCTCCCGCATGGTACTTGTAACTAATTTCAAGGTGCGGTGATTTCCCAGTAAAACGAGCGTGTAGAGGAGTTCATCTCCTGTGTTTAGCCGTGCGCCACTCCTAGAAATTCCACATTCATTTGGCAGGAATCTTTCGAACCATAAAACACCCACTATTGATTTTCCAAAAAATACTACGAATTGTGTTTCACCCACATGGATTAATATGGGGATCGACGTGTGAGTAAAATTTGGACAAAATATTCTTCAAAATGTGCGTTTTGTGATTATTCTATTTATAACAATAATACCGATCACGCATTCGCTTGGGTGTTCAACATTCTGACCCAGATGACTAATCTGGATCTTGGTGTGGCAACCAGCTGACGGCCCTTCCCGAGATGGTGTTTGACCGCCTGGGGAATCTAAAGTGGTTGAGTCTGCACGTCAACCACCTGAAGAGCGTTCCCAAGGGCGCAACTGGTGGTGGCTACACACGTGACAGTCCCATAAAGACCGTGATGCATCGATTGTACATTTAATACATTACTCGATGTTCTCAGCACTCACTCTTTATGAGTTCATGAGTCACTGCTAACACGCTGAATGTATTATTTAAACGGAAGTTGTTTCAGTAGCGTTCGCAGGTGTTCCCAACACCTATAAGGAGATCACAAGGAATAAAATAATGTTGCGGACGAGAGCAGCTTGGAGTGCTTTTGTGAATCTGAACTTCATAATGAAACTTAACATTCTAATGTGACTGCAACCAATCGTTGTTAATCAGTGTGACCCACCTGCTATGGCGGATGGTTCAGAAACACAGTGATTGTAACGCAAAATTGAGGGAAATAACTGACAAGTGCGCATGGAAGAACTCGGTGTTCCAAGCTTCGAAATACATTGATAGACAGAGAAAGGAACACATGGGTAAGAGAAAAACGCTCATAAATTACAACAAACGTTTCATTAAAATAAGTTGATTTGTCCAGAATACGGCGCAAGAAGGTATAATTGAATAATTAACAATGGCCAATGCACATTGGCCATTGTTAATTGCAATGCAAAATGGCCATGGTAGATAACAATAGCGGAGTGGTAGCCAAAGGAAAGAATGCGCCCGGAAGGACGTCCACTGTAGAGATGGAGTAATGACAGCAGCTCGTGTGCAGGTGTGAGCTGGATTAATACATCGCATGGTCGTGAATACATCTTACAGTAGATGGATCATGGATCTTCATTATTACATTTCTACGTATTGATAAAGATAAAAAAAACTTAACTAAACAAGAGAGTCTGGAAATACACATCATTATTTCAAAGGTAGACATGCGGAATGCTTGGATACATTAAGGACCTAAATCGAACGACAATAATTGACACATATAAGGCAAACCCAATTAAAAAACGAATCTCAATGTCAAAAAGATCGTGTGATGTATATTAGTTGACAGGTAACACTGAAATATGTTGTGAAGAACGTTTTTCAGGGAAAGCTTCAGTAAGAGGCACCTCGTGTAAATGTTGGACCACACGCGAAGCCGCTCGCGTGCAAAGGGATGCCGTTGTGAGCCGCCAATAAACCGTCGACCGTCCCTCGCAGTGTTCGTGCACAGGAACAGATGTGAACTGTGACGGGAAACGCCTCGCGTCTGTGCCTGCGGCAATCCCCACCACCACGCAAAGGCTGTGGTTGAGCAACAATCAGTTCACGAAGCTCGACCCCGGGGTGTTTGACAGCCTGACGGCACTGGTCGAGACATGACACCATGAGGCTCCTGATAAATCCCCTGCAATCGTAAATGATTAGGAATTATGATATACATTCAAGTTCAAGATCATTTATTAGGTATAGCCCTGTGAGCCATTCAGCTCTTGAATCGGGTGCAACCGCAACAAACAAAAAACAAAAACATGAACAAAAAACATCTTAAAGTGAATATGTGACTAAGTGCAAACTGTGCTCTTAAAAAACGTTCATAATTAAACTCAATATAACAACATTGTTTAAAAATGCGTTCAGGTGAACATGGTTGCCTTTTTTAAAGAAGATATTTGTTATATTGAATGGAGGTCGTTTTAACTGTAACATGTTTATGAAAGCGAATGTAGGTCGCATGAGCGAACATTTATTTGCGACAGTAATCGAGATGATTTTAGCAGGTCTCTAATAAGAGGCATTAAAGCGGTTGCAGGTGGTATTTAATAACAATGTTATCTATGGAATTAATAGGATGAATCTAACACTTCTCTATGAACATGAATCGAGGTCGCTTCAACTCCTAGATCTCTCTGCAAGTGAATGAAGTTCGATTTAACTAACATGTCTCGATGGAAGTAACTGTTGTACCTTTAACTCTTCTGTTTAAAAAATAAATTCCGTGGTATCGAATGTAGGTTTTGTCGACTCCGATGTCTCTATGCGAGAGAACGGAAGTGGCTCTGCTTAAACACTTCATGTGAATAGATGTCGCTCTCACGAACGCATTTCCATGATAGTGGTGAGACTTCCTTGTGAGCAATTAGCATGGAGGTCACTACTCAACTCATATCTCCAGAAGTGAATATGGGCCACTTATAACTAACAGGTTTCTAACATCATCATAAGCCATTACAATCCGCTAGGGTGTTTGATAGTCTGCCCCAGTTGACTCTTCTGGCTCTGAATATCAACCAGCTGCAGGCCCTTCCCGAGGGATTGTTTGACCGCCTGGGGAAGCTGCAGCATTTAGATCTGTCAAAGAACCAGCTGAAGAGCATTCCTCAGGGCGCGACTGGTGGTTGCCCACAAATTCAACGCGTCGACTCTACACGCAATTGCATCACTCACATTATCAGCCCACCCTCTGCACGAGTTTATAAGTCACCGCTAACACGCTGATTCTGTTATTTCAACGACAGTTGATTCAGTAGTTATCTAGGTGTTACCAACACCTATAAGGATACTAAAACAATGCACATGAACAGCACGTTTCAAAATTTAATTTTGAAATGTAACATTCCAATGTGCATGCAGAAGAGCGTTTTTGACTGGAGTGAATCACCTGGTTTGGCTGGCTGGCTGGTAAGAGGACGGACGGATGGACACCTCAAATCCGACAGGAAGACACTGTTCAGAATAGAGGGACAGGTAATAATTTTACAGAGGACCACAGGATAATCTTGTCACTTGTAACGTACTCCTCTTTGACATTCCACTGTGAGATGAAGACCCTCTGCAAACCATTTAGGTAATGGGAGGTTGTTTAACCATTCTTCACCATGCGGGTCAGTGGGTGTTAGTGAAAACTGGGGTAGAAAGAACAACTTCTATTAACTTTAATCGATATGTGTATTTTAAAGCGAGTTGTATTCACATTCATAAACATCTGTTATAGGGACCTTCATTCACAGACAGAGGACTGGTAGATTTACCCGACTCCCAGCCACCTTTAAAGAGACCCGTTAGCTTAAGATAACTCCATTCATCACATACACGTGAGGTAACTTAAATAAACTATATTTACTTTCATAGATATGTACCTTGATAGAACAAGACGTATAATAGTTTAATATTAATTCATTCACTTTAACGCCATTCGCTTTATTATAGAGATGCATACATTGACACGACTATATTCCCCTTATGTAAAGTAACGTTCATTCTGTTTCATATTTTGCATGCTTTAGTTAAAAGGACCTGCATTTAATTACAACATTCCTCGATGTATTGTGATTATTGTTCATTTATCTATGCTGCTGTTTATGGATTTACACTACAGTAAATGTATTGATTGCTGTTAGACTCTCACGCACGTGGCTACAACTGTACCGTCAGTTGCGCCTCTGGGGCCTTTCTTCAGGCAGTTGTCACTCAGAGCCAAATGAGTGAGCTGGGTCAGTTTTTCAAACAGCGAAGTGGGGAAAGACGACAGTTGGTTCTGATCCAGATACAGGCGCTGCATATGAGCCAGACTAATTACCATTTAAATCCACAAGCCAGATGAGTAACACTGAGAATAACCACAGGGTACTCTTAGCTTATGATGATGCTTGGGATTTCTTCGTCAAAGTGACCTCCATTCATAACTATGACATCAGTGACCTCGAATGGTTTGCGTTAAATTTCAATCAATCAATAATTATTGGTCGACTTTTACGAACTGAATCGGGTCGCGGGAGCAGCGATTCCACCAAGGCCTTCGATCCTGTCCTGTCCTTTGCCAGCGATATCAATTGAGGCTCCCGGATTGCAAGTCTCTCCTCGGCCAGGCACACCACCTGGTATTTTCAGCGCAATCGCAGGCGGCTATTGGGTCTTTTGACTGGAAGACGTCCTTCGAACGTTTCCCAGGGGAGTCTTTCTTTCGACATCCTTAGCAGACGACCCATCCACCGTAGCTGCCTTTGCTTCACACGTTGCATCTCTTGTGGATAGCCATGCTTATCACCAGATCCCCGAGAGAGAGAGAGACCTGCCACCCTGCACAGGAAACCCATTTCGGTTGCTTTCACCCTTGAGCGTGTCCTTTCTGTCAGTAATCCAGGTTTCGTGGCCGTAGGTCCGGATGGGGACGAATATCGTCCGATAGACTGAGAGGTTTTCCTGAAGTCTCAGCTCCTATCTTCAGACCACAGACCAGTTCCTCGTCTGCATCACTGTGACCTGCCGTTCCTATCCAGTCTTTGATCTCCTTTTCCCTTCTTCCATCCCTCGAGAAATACACCCCGAGGTACCGGGAGTCTTCGATCTCCTCCACTACATCGTCATTTAGGAAGAGGGCTCTGCTACTATGGTTCGGCCACAGCCATGGTCTTGATCGCGCATAGCAACAAGTCAGTAACGTTATATTCACGCATCACTTACCACATCAACTCGTCAGGGACTCGGCTGTAAGCCTTCTCCAGGTCCACAAAGCAGATGTGGACAGTTTGGGCGTGCTCTTATCATTTCTCGAGGAGTTGCCACAGGGTAAAGAGCAGAACCACAGTCCCCTCCCCGGGTGGAAACCTCCTCGCTCCTCCATCACTCTTCCCTCGACTACCTTCTGGAGCCTCATGTTTAACAGCACAGCATAGACTTTCCCAGGTAGGCTGAGGAGGCTGATGCCCTGGTAGTTGGAGCATTGCCGCCTGTCACCTTTCTTAAACATGGGTTTGATGACCCCGTTCTGCCAGCCCCTCAGTGCTGTACCAGTCTCCCATGCCTTGTGGCATAGCTTAGTCAGCCATGCAATGCCTTAATCATCTCGGGGCGAATATCATCATTCCCAGCCGCCTTGCCGTTCTGCAGTCATTTGACCGCTTCTGCTATTTCAGCAGCCGAGATATTGTCCCAAACGCCCGTGAGCGACTCAACTGATGCCACAACCACCACAAGAGACGTGCCGGGCGGGTCTAAAAGCTGCTGTAAGTGCTCCTTCCATCTCTTGGCGATGGTTTCAATACGGCTCAGCGCTTTTCTGTACTTGTGTAATGCGGGCGTAAATGGGCGGGGCGGATATGACGATCCGAGAGGGAGGAGTCAGGGTCACGTGGGGGAGAAGTTATAGCGGGGAGACAGGAAGCCATCTGGGTCAGTCGGGGGAGTGAAGGGTGGTGAACGCGTTGGGTGGTCGCCGTGCCTCAGCCTGGTGGCTGAGGGGCTCATGACGGCGCCAGCCAGCGGGGTGGAAGAGAGAGTGGAGGATTGAGGTTGGAGATGGCGAGATAGCCACAGAGGCCACGCAGGGCTGAGGTAGGAGATGGCGAGATAGCCACAGAGGCCACGCAGGGCTGAAGTTGGGAGGTGGCGAGATCGCCACACACGGAGGAACGGGGAGCAGCGGTGGAGCTGCTGTGAGAGCAGCCGGAGGGCTGCACCAAGAGCCTGCAGCGGAGCTGCGGGAGCGCGGAAGGCTACGGGAGCGAAGGCAGCTGCGGAGCTGCCAGGCAGAGAGTCTCAGGAGGAGTGCCGTGTGGGAAGGAGAACGCGAACCCAAATAAAGGACACGGAGACAGAACCAGGGTCGAGTCCTTTATTACACTTGTGCAGCACAACCTGAACAGAGTCCTGCCCTCCCCTCCAGGCACGCCAAATGGTCGCCAACGGAGTTTCGGAGCATCTCCGTGGTCGGTTTCCATTGCTTTTCCAAACGTTTCCTACGTCTCGACTGTTGCCTTTGCAACAGTTTTAGCCGCTGCAGCTTTGACGTGCATCGGGCTGGTTATCCAATAGCATTGCCCTGTACACTGCCTTTTTCGTATGGACAGCTTGCCATACGTCCGTTGTCCACAAAAGGGTCCTAGGGTTGCCACCCACACAGGCTCCGACTGACTTCAGGCCGCAGCTACTCGCCACTCTAAGACACACAGAGGTCTTCACCTGAGTCCATTCAGTCTCGATGTTCTCGTCCTTGTCCAGGCATCGGATACATTCGTCCTGTCCTGACTCGTTGAAAGCTGTTACTTTGGGCTCTGCCACTCAGCCACTATTTTCACTGCTGGTCCAAGACATCCGTCTTTGGTCTTTGTGTAGGGGAATAGCACGAGTTGCTGGCGCAAAAGGGTAACTGTGGTGTATGGCAGTACTTGCGCCAGTTGGCGACAATATAGACGGGAGGAGAATATCTGGGGGAAAGGTCACAGAGGAGGCCATTGGGAAGCCTCGGGAACCCGCTAGTAGATTCCAGAGAGGGGGCGTCGCCGGGGCGGAGCGAGGCCATGCTGAGAGTATAAGAGGGCCCCAGTGGGGGACCTCGTGGCTGTTGATTCTAAGTGGGATCCCCGTCGTGCTGCTCAAGTCTATCGTCGTCGTCATCACCAATCTTCTCATAGTCGCCGCTGCCGTCGTCGCTTTATATTGCGCTGTTATACAGTTGTTGGCTGTATTGGTCAACGCCATCGGTGTTAGATGGCTAGTGTTTGTATAGGCTAGGGTGTGTGTAGCCTAAGCGACTGCAGGATGTGTGAAGGGAGATTGTGAGTATAATAAAAGAAGTGTCTCCAATAATTACCCCCGAGTTTGTACACCCAGAGATATGTTCACAGATGTTTAATCGTCTCGTCTCACGTCTCCCATACCGTAAAACCTTTGTCTCAATGGGCTCTGATCCCGATTTAATTCGCGCTCGTCCCCGAACTCTTGTCTGACCAGACAAGACCCCTGCAGAGATGAAAGTCTCTTTCGCAACGGAGACCTGGGGTAGAAGCAAAGGATGCACAATGCAAGATATTTCACTGTTCAAAACTGATCGACAAAATCTTAAAACAACAAAGGCAAGAACACAATGTTTAGTTTACATTTATAAGAGCAGTATTTGTGTGTGTAATATATCCAACGCATGTAATGGGCAAGAGTAAATGTGATATTTAATCGATAGCTATTTTCAAATTTACTCTGGCTGCCGCTCCACCATTCGCGCTTGGGAATACTCTTCAGCTGATTGGTTCTCAGAGCCAGACGAGTGATCTGGGTGAGATTGTCAAACACCCCAGCGGGGAGAAAGGTCAGCTCGAGCATCGTGATCTGATTGTCGTTCAACCACAGGCTCTGCCTGTTGGGGATGCCCACAGGCACAGACGCAAGGCTTCTCCGCTCAGTTCACAGCTGTCCCCCAACACGAACACTGCGAGTGGCGGGCGACGCTTTAGAGGCGGCTCACAACGGCCTCCCCTTACACGCGAGTGGCGTCGCGTGTGGTCCAACATTTACACGAGTTGCCTCTTCCCAAAGCTCTCCCTGAAAAAAGTTATTCGCCAAACATGTTACATTGCTTAGTTTATCATGGGACCTCCCTTGCCAACATCAACATATAACAATAAAGGTTACCCTTTCTGGCAATTAAACAGTTGTTAACATGATTAAAACACCAAACAGAAACTTTTTGCAAGGAATAATTTCTGTATTAAACACATATACTCGTGGCGAACATTCACAATATAAAAAACTCATTTTAATTAACCTATTCTTATACATTGCTTCGTGGTTAGGTGTATGCACAGTTGTGTGAATTATAAAATAGTTGTTATTGCATTGTAGTGAGTTTCATTTTGTGAATGATTTAGATAACTAATTAACGTTTTTGTTTCCCAGGTCGCCAATGTAAAGAGTGAACTGTTTTTCAAAAGTCTCTCGTCTGGTTAAATACAGATATGGATCTCTGGATATGTACATATATAGATTCATTATCACAAGCGTTGCTATTAATCCACTGCTGGACACGATAGCTGATTCATTGACACGATAGTCAATAGCATTCTGGAAATATTTGAGATGTAATTAAAATGTAGTATTTACTGACTCATTGCTAAGAAGCATTAGTATTGTTATTTAATGAGTCGCATTAATGGAAATCGATTAACCGTTGGATTTTATTATATAAAATAGTCATAATCAACGTTTTTGGGTTTAGATCGCATTATTTATAAATGTGTCGTAATCCTCCACCACCCGACATTTATAAATAACGCGATCTAAACCCAAAAACGTTGATTATGAATAATATTGGTCGCGAAAGCCTACAAATAAAATAGTATTAATTGAACGGGTATATAGATTTAACATCCATGTTTGCACATAAGCAAGCGTGGATGTTTTATTCATCTTGAGAAGCTCGTGTTTTTGTGTTGTTTACGATTTTGCATTCGCATTGTTCGTCTTTCTACGCTTAGATATTTGTCACTGTTTATATTTGGTGAATTATCACCACCGGCGAGACACTCGCGCGCATGGCTACAGCTCCACCGCCAGTCGCGCTCCTGGGAACGCTCTTCAGCTGATTGTCGTTCAGAGCCAACCACTGCAGATTCACCAGGCGGTCAAACACCCCCTCGGGTAGGGCCTGCAGCCGATTGCCACCAAGATCCATATACGTGAGCTGCGTTAGACTGTCAAACACCCCTGGCTCGAGTTTCGTGATCTGGTTGTTGTACAAAAGCAGCTCTCGCGTGGTGGTGGGGATTCCCGCAGGCACAGACGCCAGACTCCTCCCTGCACAGTACACTTGTGTCCCTGAGCACGAACACTGCGAGGGACAAGCGACCGTTTAGAGGCAGCGACGACTGCATTTCTTTGTTACCTTCATAAACGCCCTTCAGAGAGCACTCAGTGCACGCTTGTTTTACGTAAAAAAATAAAATTAGCATTTTACTGAAATTCAGTAAAAATTCCAACGTCATTTGATCCCTATGTTGCCATCATTGCGTACCGGGCTGAGACCGTCATCTGGCTGCACCTGAGATTCCGAGTGAATCACGTGCGGCTCTTAAGCGTGGTACTTGAAATTAACATTGAAATTAACATTAATTTCAAGTTCCACGCTTAAGAGCCGCACGTAATTTACTTGAAATTAATTTCAAGTCGCGGTGGTTTCGCTGTCAAAAGTGCGTGGATAGGAGCTCATCTCCTGTGTAAAGCAGTGGGCAACTCCTTTAAATTCCACATTCATTTGGCGGAGGTGTTTAGATCCACCAAACACCCAGTATTGATTTTCCCAAAAAATGTTCGAATTGTGTTTGGATCGACGTGTGAGTAATATTTAAAACAATAATACCGATCACGCATTCACTTGGCTGTTCAACAGTCTGACCCAGCTGACTAATTTGGATATTGGTGGCAACCAGCTGACGGCCCTTCCCGAGATGGTGTTTGACCGCCTGGGGAATCTAAAGTGGTTGAGTCTGCACGTCAACCACCTGAAGAGCGTTCCCAAGGGCGCAACTGGTGGTGGCTACACACGTGACAGTCCCACAAAGACCGTGATGCATCGATTGTACATTTAATACATTACTCGATGTTCTCAGCGCTCACTCTTTATGAGTTCATGAGTCACTGCTAACACGCTGAATGTATTATTTAAACGGCAGTTGTTTCAGTAGCGGTCGAGGTGTTCCCAACACCTATAAAGAGATCACAAGGAATAAAATAATGTTGCGGACGAGAAGAGTTTGGAGTGCTTTTGTGAATCTGAACTTCATAATGAAACTTAACATTCCAATGTGACTGTTACCAATCGTTGTTAATCAGCGTGACCCACCTGCTATGGCGGATGGTTCAGAAACACAGTGATTGTAACGCAAAATTGAGGGAAATAACTGACAAGTGCGCATGGAAGAACTCGGTGTTCCAAGCTTCGAAATACATTGATAGACAGAGAAAGGAACACATGGGTAAGAGAAAAACGCTCATAAATTACAACAAACGTTTCATTAAAATAAGTTTATTTGTCCAGAATACGGCGCAAGAAGGTATAATTGAATCATTAACAATGGCCAATGCACATTGGCCATTGTCAATGCAAATTGGCCATGGTAGATAACAATAGCGGAGTGGTAGCCAAAGGAAAGAATGCGCCCGGAAGGACGTCCACTGTGGAGATGGAGTAATGACAGCAGCTCGTGTGCAGGTGTGAGCTGGATTAATACATCGCATGGTCGTGAATACATCTTGCAGTAGATGGATCATCGATCTTCATTGTTACATTTCTACGTATTGATAAAGATAAATTAACTTAACTAAACAAGAGAGTCTTGAAATACACATCATTATTTCAAAGGTAGGCATGCGGAATGCTTGGATAAATTAAGGAGCAAAAACTAATTACAATATTTGACATGTATAAGGCAAACCCAATTCAAAACGAATCTGAATGGATCAATGTCAAAAAGAACGTGTGATGTTTATTAGCTGACAGGCAACACTGAAATATGTTGTGAAGAACTTTTTTAGAGAAAGCTTCAGGAAGAGGCAACTCGTGTAAATGTTGGACCACACGCGATGCCACTGGCGTGTAAGGGGAGGCCGCCGTGAGCCGCCTCTGTAACGTCGCCCGTCCCTCGCAGTGTTCGTGCTCAGGGACAGAAGTGAACTGCGATAGCAGAAGCCTCGTGTCTGTGCCGGCAGGAATCCCCACCACCACGCGAGCTCTATGGTTGGGCGGTAATCAGATCACGAAGCTCGAGCCCGGGGTGTTTGACCGTCTGACGGCACTGGTGGAGACACGACACCATGAGGCTCCTGATAAATCCCCTGCAATCGTAAATTATTAGGAATTATGATATACATACTGTGCTCTTAAAAAACTATCATAATTAAACTCAATTTAACAACATTGTTTAAAAATGCGTTCAGGTGAACATGGTTGCCTTTTTTAAAGAAGATATTTGTTATATTGAATGGAGGTCGTTTTAACTGTAACATGTCTATGAAAGCGAATGTAGGTCGTATGAGCGAACATTTATTTGCGACAGTAATCGAGGTGATTTTAACAGGTCTCTAATAAGGGGCATTAAAGCGGTTGCAGGTGGTATTTAATAACAATGTTATCTATGGAATTAATAGGATGAATCTAACACTTCTCTATGAACATGAATCGAGGTCGCTTCAACTCCTAGATCTCTCTGCAAGTGAATGAAGTTCGATTTAACTAACATGTCTCGATGGAAGTAACTGTTGTACCTTTACTCTTCGATTGCATTTTAAGTGAATCGACATTGTTTAAGAAAATAAAATTCCGTGGTATCGAATGTAGGTTTTGTCGACTCCAATGTCTCTATGAGAGAGAACGGAAGTGGCTCTGCTTAAACACTTCATGTGAATAGATGTCGCTCTCACGAACACATTTCCATGATAGTGGTGAGAATTTCTTGTGAGCAATTAGCATGGAGCTCACCACTCAACTGATATCTCCAGAAGTGAATAATGACCACTTTTAACTAAAAGATTTCGAACATCATCATAAGCCATTACAACCCGCTAGGGTGTTTGATAGTCTGCCCCAGTTGACTCTTCTGGCTCTGAATGACAACCAGCTGCAGGCCCTTCCCGAGGGATTGTTTGACCGCCTGGGGAAGCTGCAGCATTTAGATCTATCAAAGAACCAGCTGAAGAGCATTCCTCAGGGCGCCACTGGTGGTTGCCCACAAAATCAACGCGTCGACTCTACACGCAATTGCATCACTCACATTCTCAGCCCACCCTCTGCACGAGTTTATAAGTCACCGCTAACACGCTGAGTCTGTTATTTCAACGACAGTTGATTCAGTAGTGATCTAGGTGTTACCAACACCTATAAGGATACTAAAACAATGCACATGAACAGCACGTTTCAAAATTTAATTTTGAAATGTAACATTCCAATGTGCATGCAGAAGAGCGTTTTTGACTGGAGTGAATCACCTGGTTTGGCTGGCTGGCTGGTAAGAGGACGGACGGATGGACACCTCAAATCCGACAGGAAGACACTGTGCAGAATAGAGGGACAGGTAATAATTTTACAGAGGACCACAGGATAATCTTGTCACTTGTAACGTACCCCTCTTTGACATTCCACTGTGAGACGAAGACCCTCCGCAAACCATTTAGGTAATGGGAGGTTGTTTAACCATTCTTCACCATGCGGGTCAGTGGGTGTTAGTGAAAACTGGGGTAGAAAGAACAACTTCTATTAACTTTAATCGATATGTGTATTTTAAAGCGAGTTGTATTCACATTCATAAACATCTGTTAAAGGGACCTTCATTCACAGACAGAGAACTGGTAGATTTACCCGACTCCCAGCCACCTTTAGAGAGACCAGTTAGCTTAAGATATCTATCTCCATTCATCACATACACGTGAGGTAACTTAAATAAACTACTTTTACTTTCATACATATGTACCTTTATAGAACAAGACGAATAATAGTTTCATATTAATTCATTCACTTTAACGCCATTCGCTTTATGTATTATAGAGATGCATAAATTGACACGACTATATTCCCCTTCCGTAAAGTGACGTTCATTCGGTTTCATATTTTGGATGCTTTAGTTAAAAGGACCTGCATTTAATTACAACATTCCTCGAGTATACAATTGATGTATTGTGATTATTGTTCATTTATCCATGCTGCTGTTGATGGATTTACACTACAGTAAATGTATTATGATTGCCGTTAGACTCTCACGCACGTGGCTACAACTGTACCGTCAGTTGCGCCTCTGGGGCCGCTCTTCAGACAGTTGTCACTCAGAGCCAAATGAGTGAGCTGAATCAGTTTGTCAAACAGCGAAGTGGGGAAAGACGCCAGTTGGTTCTGATCCAGATACAGGCGCTGCAGATTAACCAGATTAATTGCCATTTAAATCCACAAGTCAGATGAGTCACACTGAGAATAAACACAGAGGGTACTCTTAGCTTATGATGATGCTTGGGATTTCTTTGTCAAAGTGACCTGTGATGCCGCCGCCACGAAGCCGTTCGGCAGGCGCCCCATCCCCGACCTCGACACCACCAAGCGACGGAGCCAACCCCTCGTCCCCCTCACCTCACCTCACATGAACACACCCGCACGCATTCCCCCCCCCCCCCCCCCCATAGAGCTGGATGGGGAGCTCACCTGATCGACCGGTTTTTATCCGAGAAACCCTTATCGGGATTAACTCTCACGGTTTCCGGCGATCAGGGAATTGGACGACCTCCCCCGACGCTACTTTGCACCGCGGCGCTGCGACCGGCCTTAAGATGGTATGGCCGCGGCGAAGGGCATTTGGCCACCACGGTTGAAACGCATCCCCCACACACACCACCCACGTGTCGACGAGGCAAGCAGGGGAGGGACGGGACAGCATGAGTAGCGGAACTGCAGGGGCTCTTGTGCATAGTCATGGATGGTTAGGATAATTACGCTTGAGCGCGCAGGCACCATTGTTAGGGAGGGTTAAGGATTAAGCTGAAAGTATGAATAGATCGGGAGAAGGGAGGCACGCGGGGAGCCCGTACACAGATTCCCACGGCGAGCCTTTGTGATGGACGCCGCCGCATAATCTGCAATGATAAAGGCATGCGTGAGAAAGGGATTAATTAGAATTTACGCCGCGCAACGCCGCACATTGATTAGCATATCACAGGCGCCCGGAACCGCGGTGCACGTGCTAGAGGGCGCGAGCCCATTGTTAAGGAAAAGCTGAGGGCCGCCATCCCGCTCGGAGCCGCATCCCTTTGATGTAGGGAGGATAAAAAGGGGGGCAAAGGAGAGATCGGGCTCTCTTACTCCAGCACCTGGCGACAGGACGCTCTCCAGTCCAGCGACCTGAACGTCCGTGAGACGCATCGAGGTACGCTGCGAGTATGGGATCAACGAACCGCCGTGGGCACCTAACAGTGAGTAAGAAGGTGAAGTAGGATCATAGCCGATAAATAGAGAATAGATTCAGGGCTGGTAGAATAGGCCAGCCTCGTCGACTCATACTGATTTAGCAACAATTCGCAGGTAGCAAATAATAAATCATTAATTGCGAAGCGTGGCCTCATGTGATCTCGTGAGCGGTGTGAACGCGTGTAGTGCTGCGGCTCGCCTCGTGGGAGCGCTGCACAGAGCGGCGTCGAGCAGTGTGCTGCGTGTGGAGCGGCGTGTGTGTGCGTGCGTTTCACTTGGTTATTCGACGGGGAGGCGAGTGCCGCACAGGGCTATAGACGGGCACACGCTCGCAGCGTGTGAGAGCTGTACGTAGCGGTGTAAAGAGGGGGAGTATGGCGTCTGATTGATGATGCTGTGCGCACGTATGCTTGCAGCGTGGGAGCGCCGCGTGAAGCCGTATGGGTAGGAGCGTCGCGTCCGAAGGCCGGCGAAACCCTAGCGGGTATTAGGGAGGTGGGGTAACGTAAACGGAATAGGGGATGCAGGCGGGGGGGACCCCGGGGGCCAACGGCCCCCACAGACCTCCATTCATAACTATGACATCAGTGACCTCGAATGGTTTGCGTTAAATTTCAATCAATCAATAAATATTGGTCGACTTTTACGAACTGAATCGGGTCGCGGGAGCAGTGATTCCACCAAGGCCTTCGATCCTGTCCTGGTCCTTTGCCAGCGATATAAACTGTGGCTCCCGGATTGCAAGTCTCTCCTTGGCCAGGCGCACCACCTGGTATTTCCAGCGCAATCACAGGCGGCTTTTGGGTCTTTTGACTGGAGGATGTCCTTTGAACGTTTCCCAGGGGAGTCTTTCTTTTGACATCCTTAGAAGACGACCCATCCACCGTAGCTGCCTTTGCTTCATACATTGCGTCTCTTGCGGATAGCCGTGCTTCTCACCAGATCCTCGAGAGAGACCTGCTACCCTGCACAGGAAACCCATTTATGTTGCTTGCACCCTTGAGCATGTTCTTTCTGTCAGTATCCAGGTTTCGTGGCTATAGGTCCGGATCGGGACGAATATTGTCCGATAGACTGAGAGGTTTTCCTGAAGCCTCAGCTTCTGTGTTAGGACCACAGACCAGTTCCTCATCTGCATCATTGTGACCGTCGCTCCTATCCAGTCTTTGATCTCATTTTCCCTTTTTCCATCCCTCGAGAAACACACCCCGAGGTACCGGGAGTCGTCGATCTCCTCCACTACATCGTCATTGAGGAAGAGGGCTCTGCTACTCTGATTCGGCCACAGCCATGGTCTTGGTTTTGGAGGTGCTAATGCCCATTTCGACCACCTCACATTCCGCAACGCTGCTCAGCGAATTCTGAAGGTCGGGGTGTGTTGGGGCTCAGAGGATGATGTAATCTGCATACAGCATGGCTGACACCTCCCTTCCACCAACGCTGATGCCTGTCGCCACCGTGCACCGTCTCATCAGTCTTTCCATGAACAGGATAATCAATGACAGCGATAGCACACAGCCTTTTCGAAGTCTGATCCAGATTGTAAAAGGGTCTGTCTGGCATGCCAGACCCAGCTCTCACTTTGCTCTTACAGCGAACTGATCGCGCGTAGAAACAAGTCAGTAACGCTATATTCATGTATTACTTACCACATCAACTCACTCGTAAGCCTTCTCAGATTTAAATCGCACACGTCCCTGAACTCGTATGACCAGACGGGACCGCCGCTGAGATGAAAGTCTCTTTTGCAACAGAGACCTGGGGTACAAGTGTAATGAGTGGCTCTGACACGCTAAGAACTTTATGTTGTTTATTAATAAATCTTCGGTACAGCTTGGTTGTCTCTCTCACTCTCTCTACGGATGTTACGCCGCCCAGGTGGCTTTGCTGCCCCGTGCCACGTAGCGCTCACCCACTCGCGAACACGCCGCTGGCTGACGGCGTGCTAGGGAGCAGCTGAAGGTTGAGCCGCCACGTGGCCGATGGAGATGGCCGGGCAACAACGACGGGGAGCTCCTCTTGATCTTCAATACCGACTTCACACCTTGCTCCGGCTTATATGTGCTCCCCGGCGACTAAGCCCCGCCTCTGGCCACGCCCCTCCTGGAACCTTCGGGAACGCTCCAGAGGCTTCCCTGGTGGATCCGCCTCCTCACCTTTGCTCCAGATATAAACCCTACCATAGATAGACCATAACTGCATAACAGGTAATGTCCCACATTATACAGGAGATGGCGCTCTCATTACACAAGCAAAGGATGCACAATGCAAGATATTTCACTGTTCAAAACTGAAAAGTGAAATAAAAAACAAAGGCAAGAACACAAGTTTTAATTTTAATTTATAAGGGCAGTCTTTGTGTGTGTAATATATCCAACGCATGTAATGGGCAAGAGTAAATGTGATATTTAATCGATAGCTATTTTCAAATTTACTCTGGCTGCAGCTCCACCACCATTCACGCTTGGGAACACTCTTCAGCTGATTGGTTCTCAGAGCCAGGCGAGTGAGCTGGGTGAGATTGTCAAACACCCCAGCGGGGAGAGATGTCAGCTGGTTGCTTTCTAACCACAGCTTCTTCAGATTCACCAGGCGGTCAAACACCCCGGGCTCGAGCTTCGTGATCTGATTGTCGTTCAACCACAGGCTCTGCCTCTTGGGGTTGCCCACAGGAACAGACGCGAGGCCTCTCCCCTCACAGTCCACAACTGTCGACTAATACGAACATTGCGAGGGGCAGGCGACGGTTTTAGTGGCGGCTCAGAACGGCCTCCCCTTACACGCGAGCGGCGTCGCGTGTGGTCCAACATTTATACGACTTGCCTCTTCCTGAAGCTATCTGTCAAAATGTTTCATGAAAATGTTTTAGAGTGCTTGGTGTTCATGTGCATCTATCTTATTATTATACTGTATATATACAAATAAAGTCCGTCTTTATGTCTGTTCCGAACACAAATCCACACCGTCGCCACCAAACTTGGCAGGCTTACCTTTAAACCCCCGCGGAAAACCTTTGCTACATGGCGTGTCAACATTTAATATAGGGTGGCCCGGGGCCCTCCAAACAGCACCCCACACACTCTCAGTGACGTCACCATCTAAGTTGTCTTGTGGTTGTTGTTGGTTGTTTGACTTGCATCCCACTGGGATTTTTGCACACAGCGTTGGGGTACGGTGATTTTTTTTCTGCAATATTTTGCTGTCTTTTCTTGGATTTTCTGTTTTCACTTAGTCACATATTCACTTTAAGATGTTTTTTGTTCATATTTTTGTTTTTTGTTTGTTGCGACTGCACCCGATTCAAGAGCCGAATGGCTCACAGGGCTATACCTAATAAATGAACTTGAACTTGAACCATCCCTCGGACACATTGACCTGGCCCCGCACCTCTAACAGTAACATAATGACCCCCTCCTCATCAAGTTCATCTTCCAATTGCGGTTGATTGCATCACCCAAAACCCCGTTGGTGATTCCAATTCACGGCCAAACTCAATGAGCACGCCCGTCATCTTTATGTGGCGAGATAAACAGCACGACATCATTCACGCTTTAAAACAAATCTTAGCTACTGTAAATTATTCACTTTTATAGAAGTTACATGTAAAAAAATTTTACTTTTAAATTACTTTCAGCGCTGATATGCTGATTGAAATGCATACGTGGTGTGTGTGATTGCACGACTGAGTGGATGCGTTATTGTGAGCGTCGGTTATCTGCATAAGTGTGAGAGTTTGTGAGTTCGTGAATAAGTATGCTAAAACATGTGCGGTATTATTATATACACTGCTGAAATGTTACTGCTGATATTCATAATGCTTATGTTACCGCTAAGGATACTACTACTGTTGATTAACAAACTATTAATGATGATACTGGTGACTCTAATACTAACACTGCGAATGATGCTACGATGCGAGTTGCAAATTATGATAATGCAATTCCTGAAGATATTGCTGCTGATAATGATTGCTGATGATGATTGGTTATAATGCTATTGGAGTGTAATGGCACCGGCTGATAGACAGCAGCGGCAACTGTGGTGGACAGACAGTACACACGCCGGTGAGCGTGAGCACGGGTGTGTAGGCAGAGCAGAGAAACTAGAGCAAAGGTCACGGAGGACCCCATCTGGAGGCCCCTCGAACCTTCTAGTGGGTTCTAGAAGGGACTCGTGGTCAGGGCGGAACCAGGCCACGCTGGTAGGATAAAAGTAGCCGAGAGCGAGAGCTCGGGGCTGCCGGTTCTGGGAGTGGACTCGTCTCGTTGTTGCTGTCGTCTCGTCAACATCGTCGCTGAATTCTTCGCTAGATATTGTGCTGCTAGAAGTTGTTGGCTCTCTCGGTCGACGCCGTCAGTGTTTGACGGTTAGGCTAAGCAACTGTGGAGAGTGTGTGTACGAGACAGTGAAAGTTGATATATAAAAGAAGGTGCCTCCTACAAACCTTGTCCCCAAATCACTGACACTATATTATAGCTGATGATGCTATTGTTGTTAATAATGCTGCAAATACTTATGTTGATTGACGATGATCCTGATGATGATACTCACGCTGCTGATGCTAATGCTGCAAATTCTACTACTGACGTTGCTGATGCTGCAAATTTCTTAAAACAACAAAATCTTAACAGTTGCTGTAACGCCATCGACCCCCTCCTTCGGAATACAGATTGAGCCACTCTACATTGGCCAAAGCTATCCGCGTAAACTGTTCAATTGTATTTGTGGAGTATTGGTACTTGGTAGTGTTGTGTTTTGGTTTCTATATTTCCATTTTGTGCATGGTTAAGATTATGAATTAACATGTTTTTGTGTCCAAGGCTTCCACTGAAAAGAGTGAATTTCGAAAGTCTCTCGCCTGATTGAATGTAAATATGGTGTCTCTATCTTGATTTGTAGATAAAAATTCATCATCACCAGCGTTGATATCAATCCACTGCTGTACACTATTGCTGATTTATTGAGACAGTCGCTGCATTGTGTAGTATATCTGTGAAGCATCATTGCTGACACCCATTATCTAAGCAGAACACTTGTTATTATTTATTGACTGGTCTTAGACATTCTATTTTTGAGACTATTCTATCTTGAACGTGTTAATCGTTTGTACAAACATCCATGATTGCACATACTGGGTTATTTTTGTTGAGAAGTATGTGTTTGTTGTTGTTGTTTACGATTTAGCATTTCTATTCGTATTTCTACGCTGAGATATTTTCCAATGTTTATATTGGGTGCATTATTAAAATCAGCTCGACTCTTGAGCGTGCTTACAGCTCCACCATCAGTCGCGCCCCGGGAACGCTCTTCAGATGATTGCTGGTCAGACGCGACCACTGCAGATTCACAAGGCGGTCAAACACTCCCTCAGGAAGGATCTGCAGCTGATTGCCAATAGGATCCTAAACAGTCAGCTGAGTCAGACTGTGAATCACTGCAGGGGGTACTCATGGCTTGTGATGACACTAGATATCTCTTCGTCAAAGTGGCTTATGTTCATTACCATGACATGAGTTACCTCGAGTGGCTTGCGTTCAATTTCATACAGATAAATTAGAGCACAAAGCAACCGCCAATCACTTGTATGGCGGTTGGTTCGTGAACTAGATATTTATTAACAGGACAGTTAAACCCGACTTCAATCGCTTTCATAGAGATATCTTTAGTTAAAACAAATCCATTCGATTTCATATGCATGAACTAAATATCACTTAAATTACTTTCATAGAGATCTGTTATTAAGGACAACTCCATTCAATGGCATATGAATATTAAATTAAGCGAATTCCCGTTCACGTTCTTAAATATGTTTTACATAAACCTAGGTTCATTAACATTAATTAAGATCTGTTAGTTGAATTGACCTTAATTCACAATTATAGAGATATCGTAGCTATATCGACCTCCATTCACTCTGAATATAAATTGATATTATAAAGGGACCACTAATGTTTGTCATTATGCAAGTGTGTGTGAAATAATACGAATTTTTTCAATATCGCAGTGGTAATAGCAGGAGTCTCATAGTCTCATGTCTACCCCAGTTCCGTAAGATTGTCAAACACCCCTAGCTCGAGCTTCGTGATCTGATTACTGCCCAACCACAGCTCTCGCGTGGTGGTGGGGATTCCAGCAGGCACAGAGGCGAGTCTTTTCCCTCCACAGTTCACAGTTGCCCCTGAGCACGAACACTGCGAGGGAAGGGCGACGGTTTAGAGGCGGCTCACAACGGCCTCCCTTTGCACGCGAGCGGCGTAGCGTGTGGTCCAACATTTACACGAGTTGCCTCTTCCTGAAGCTTTCCCTGAAAAAGATTCTTCACGAAACATTTTGGAGTGCTTAGTGCATGTTGAAATTATTTGTTCATCTTGATTGTTTCAGAGTTCCATTGTTATAACTATTTGGTTCTATATTTTTGTTATTGTAAATTAGTTGGATCGTCAATTTAATAATATATTTATCATGTCTCCCTTAAAAAGAGCGATGTATATTTTAATAGGCTCTCGCTGAGTTATATGTATACATGTATGTTCAACACGTATATTTGCATCATCGGCCTTGATAAATCCACTGCTGGGTGGAGGTATCTGCAAGCCGTAGTGATGACCATGTGATGTTATAATCCACACCGCAACTGCACACGAGCTGCTGTCATTACTCTATCTCAACGGTGGACGCCCTTCCGGGTGCGTTCCCTCCCTTGGCTGCCACTCCACTAGAGTTATTGACCACGGTCAATGTGCATTGGCCATCGTGAATGGGCATGAGTAAACAGCACCTTTAGTCTACGGATGCTTGCAAATTCACTCTGGCTGCAGCTCCACCACCAGTCGTGCTAGGGAACGCTCATAAACTGGCTGGTGCTTAGAGGCAGGTGAGTGAGCTGGGTGAGTTTGTCAAAAACCCCGCTGGGTTGTATTCATAGTCATAGAGATCTGTTAAAGGCACCTCCATTCAGTCATAGAGATATCGTATATTACCCGACTCCCAGCCAATCTCAACAAGACCTGTAAGGATCAGCTACCTCCAATCGTTCACATGTGTAGTGAGTCCAACTGAGTCGCAGACGTTGTCTTGGGAGCAACACGTTTTTATTAAACTCTTAGCACAACATACTCCAGGCAATTAACACAAAACACTCTCGGGTGGTGACCACCCAACTAACCACGCTACGTCGGAACTAGACACGGTTCCACTATCCCAGTCCAGACCACAGGGCCCCCCTTATACCGTGCCGGGGTGGGGCTGGCTCCGCCTCTCGCCCCACCCACCTTCTCAATCTCTCTCGCCCTTGCCCGAAGGATCTCGAGAGTTCTTCCTGGACCATGTAACCACCCATTAGCTCCCTCCACCGGTGTCCCCCCTCCAGTATCATATTGTAGTGACATAGAACGGTCACTACTCTGTTGGCCCGTACGAGGGCTGGGGGCCCCAAGGGGGTGCCTGGGGGGTCACGTGCTGGAGGGATCCGGACCTTCCCAGAGGTGGGGGAAGTGAGGCATGTCCTGGGAAGGGAGGCGTGGCCTGGAGAGAGCCAGCCACGCCTGGGCGGAGCCGGCCACGCCAAAGCAGATATAAGCGTGGTGTGAACGGAGAGCAAGGCTGTTGTACTGTACTCCGAAGAGTAAAGACACCATCGGTCGTCAAGTCCCGAGTCGTCGTCCTGGGCCAGGCAGGCCGTTGCCTGCCTGGTCCAGTCTGTGTCGCGTTCCAGAGTGTTAGTGAGTTGAGGAAGGTGGTCACCACCTCATGTACAGCATTATATTATTTACCGTTTAATAAATAGTGTTGCCTCCAAGCTGTGTGTGTGTGCACCTAATTCGAACCCACTACATTTGGCGTCAGAAGTTGTGGAAAAATAAATATTGCTAGGTGTTATCCTAGGGAAGTAAAATGGGCACACGAAAAACAAATACAAAACTCATCTGGACGTCTTCGTACGACGGGGATGGTGTGACGACCGTCCTTCGGACAGCCCCGGGGATGGCAGCCCCGGTGACAGAGAGAGAGAGAGATGGCGCTGCACGCGGAGCGGCGGGACTTGCATCGCACTGCTGCTTCGCCGCCATCGGGAACGGAGCGACGGAGCGACGGAGCCGCGGCGAGAGGACACCATCGTCGCTGCGGGGGCTGGCGGGGGAGGCCCGGGCATGCGGGCCACGCGGTGGGCCCGCCATTTCGGCGGCTGGCCGGGGCGCTGTTCCCGCCAAAACGCCGTTCCCGCCATTTCGGCGGCTGGTCGGGGCGCTGTTCCCGCCAAAACGCCGTTCCCGCCATTTCGGCGGCTGGTCGGGGCGCTGTTCCCGCCAAAACGCCGTTCCCGCCATTCCGGCGGCGGGTCGGTGCGCTGTTCCCGCCAAAACGCCGCTCCTGCTGCCGAAATGCCGCTCCCGCCGACATCAACGCCTGCAGAGGGGGAGTTCCAGCCTTCTGCTCGAGCGCGAGAGGTGGATGGTTTCGCAAGAGCAGGCCGTGTTCACCATGAAAGATTCTTCGGGCCGTCCCAGTGCTCCACCTTGCCGCCCTCCGCTATGCACAGTTTGCCAGGCGAGTCGTGACATGACAAGCACCCGGCCCCAAGAAAAAGAATAATAATCTTCACCCATCTTGCGTGCGCCGGGTTGCGATCGCGTGTGTTTTTTTGGGTTGCGGAGCGTGTTCGTCCGGTTGTGTGCGTGAGAAATTGACGCGGCGACCATGCGGGTTTCTGCTTGTAACAGTGTTGTTGTTTATTACGGCGGCGAGATCGGTATCTTCTGGGTGTAGTTAATGATTAATTCGTTGTTGGTGTCCCGAGCTCCGTTGATATCCTCTATGTTGCCGTGTTAATGACTCGTGTTGTTACATCGTTGTGTTGCGAAATCGCCATTGTTATTGTGTATACTGTATGGAGTTCGCTCGTGATTGTCACTTGTAACTGTCAGAAACTTTGATCGTCATTGTTGCCAATGTACAGACCGTATGGAGCTTTGCTTGGAATTGTTAACAGTGTATGGAATGTTGGGTACTTGCTTGTGATTATTTACTATGTACGGATTGTCTGGAGTATTGATTGTGTGTGTTGCCATGTGGGGACTGGATGGAACATTGCGCCAAATGATTGACTGTACGAACTTCGTATACTGCATATACTATATTAATCAATTCGGCGATTCTTGGGGTTTGTGTCTAGTTTTTTTTGCTCTCAAAATTCGAATGCCCTGAGTCCCATGGTTAATGTTGAAGGGGATTTTGAAATGACAGGTTCGGTTTGTTTCAAACTCACTCTTTTGTGCGGGAATGCTCCTTGTGTTCTACATGGATCGGGGGTGCGTTTCCGTTAATTGCCGTCAAATTGCGTTGCTCTCTTCACTCGGTTGGTACAGCTGCATGCTGCAATGCGAGTCTCGGAGATGATGTGTACAGATACGGGATGTGAGGTGTATTGTTGTGACCATTGAATATTCGGGATCGTCACAAATTGTGCGTACCTGTTCGGCATTGGATCAGTTCTGTGGGGGATCATAATTCAAATTGTATGTGTTGTGATGGTGTTAAATTGCGATGGTGACATGCTGCCAGGGATTTGGAATTGTGGTGCTGGCTGTCACTTATCTTGGGGCGCAGATCCTGACCAGGATGGTCCAGTGAGTGTTGCGTGTCTAACATGAACGTTGTGGTCCCGTCATGCTATGGCTGATGGCTTGACCTGACAGCCCGAAGATTGAAACACTCCGTGGTATGTCTAGCCTAGTGGGCTGTGTGCTCACATGGCTCGGAGAGTGTGGTCCCGTCATGCAATGGCTGACAGCTTGACCTGACAGCCCGGAGATTGAGACACTCTGTGGCTTGTCTAGCCTTGTGGGCTGTGCGCTCACATGGCTCAGGGAGTGTGGTCCCGTCATGCTGTGTCTGACGGCTTGACCTGACAGCCCGGAGATCGAGACACTCTGTGGCTTGTCTAGCCTTGTGGGCTGTGCGCTCACATGGCTCAGGGAGGGTGGTCCCGTCATGCTATGGCTGACAGCTTGACCTGACGGCTCGGAGGTTGAGACCCTCTGAGGCGCATTGAAACAGTGGGCTGGAGATTCGTAAGGTTCAGGTGGAGTTGTCCTGTTACGTTGAGACTGTTTCCCTCAGTTGTTAGGGTGCATGTTGTGCAGTGAGTGAACGATGGGTCGTCTCAGCTCGGTCGGTACAGCTATATGCTGCGATGCGAGTCTTGGAGAGAGACTGGGTTAAAATCCCACCGATATGGCCGACGCGTGCTGCTGGTTGTGATGCCGCGTCGGAAAGGCGGTGGGGTGGTAACATGGAAATTCCCCCCCCGATATGGCCGACGTGTGCTACTGGTTGTGATGCCGCGTCGGAAAGACGGTGGGGTGGTAACATGGAAATTCCCCCCCCGATATGGCCGACGTGTGCTACTGGTTGTGACGCCGCGTCGGAAAGGCGGTGGGGTGGTAACATGAAAATTCCCCCCCCGATATGGCCGACGTGTGCTACTGGTTGTGACGCCGCGTCAGAAAGGCGGTGGGGTGGTAACATGGAAATTCCCCCCCGATATGGCCGACGCGTGCTACTGGTTGTGACGCCGCGTCGGAAAGGCGGTGGGGTGGTAACATGGAAATTCCCCCCCCGATATGGCCGACGTGTGCTACTGGTTGTGACGCCGCGTCGGAAAGGCGGTGGGGTGGTAACATGGAAATTCCCACCCCGATATGGTCGACGCGTGCTACTGGTTGTGACGCCACGTCGGAAAGGCGGGGGGGTGCTAACGGGTGACTGTCATTGCATGCGTGATTCTAACGGGGGGGGGGCTGTGCTGGAGCGTAAGTGGGTTAGCCGGTTTTCATGTATATTTGTTGTTAATTCCCCGTTTTCTATGCGGTTCCCTTTTACCCTCGTCGATTCTGTATATATTACGTGATTGTATTTCTTATCGGTCGCCGGTCATTTATTGATGTTGCTGGTTCGGAAGCACACCTTTTCGATGTTTCACAGTTGTGTTACAGCCGGGGACGGCTGTGTGTTTATACAGGGGGGGGTGATGTAGTGACATAGAACGGTCACTACTCTGTTGGCCCGTACGAGGGCTGGGGGCCCCAAGGGGGTGCCTGGGGGGTCACGTGCTGGAGGGATCCGGACCTTCCCAGAGGTGGGGGAAGTGAGGCGTGTCCTGGGAAGGGAGGCGTGGCCTGGAGAGAGCCAGCCACGCCTGGGC